TATGGCTTGAGACAGTATTTGCACACATATGGACTCCCAAAGAACCCCGTTTTATTTTTGATATGATAGTAGTGATTCTCATAAAGGTATAAGGCTATTGTGCATTCGTGCATTCTATCCTGTGTTTCAAATGATTGAAGACGTTTAGTCGGTGGATTGTTATGAAAAACAACAATTTTTATGTTCAACAGATTCTCAAACTTTGACACATCATTCAGTGTCACGTTTGTTTGTTGATCCAGACCAACTGCGGCTTGCCACTCTTTGGCTTTATCGAGTAATTTACTATGGGTATAGTTCGCATGAAATGCATGGGCTATACACATCGCAAAACACAATGCATTTTCGGTATTGTGAGGGTTATAAAGAAATTTACCTTTCTTTAACAATATTGTGTCGTAGGCTACAGCACCAAGTTTGAGCCGCAGACCACCACCACTTTGTGAATGTGCTATACTCACTATTAATGTCATTTCATCTTCTATAATGGACTTGTCGTTACTTTGTAACACTTTTTCCACTTCGTCTAAAAAATGGTCAATATTGTAGTTATTGTCAGAGTTCAAAATAACTTGAATATCGTCACTAAGCGAGGGCCCTCGTAATGCAACATTCATCACACATCCTTGTTCTGCATTGTTTACAGCCTGTGTTATTAACCCTGTTAATTTTTCATTTACTCTTTCACAAGCCTTTACGGTATCTGTAGGGTCTATACCTCGAAAATCAATGTGCTCAGACATTACCGTGGTGTTAAACTCTGATATTACGTTAACATGGACCTCACCACCTGTTTGTACGTTAGCGGGGACATCACTTTGTTCAGTAATCTGTACAACACCACCCACTTGTATGGTCTCGTTACCCTCATTAACATTACCCTCCAGGGGGTCTGACTCTGTGTGAACTATACAATTTCTTGAAACATTGTTGTGTCGACTTAAAACAGAGCTGCGTGTAGGTGGTTCGTCATTTTGCGTATCCATTTCTATAGTTTGACTATTAATACCTACACAGTTGTTTGTAGGTTGTTGTATTGTGGGTTGGATAGTATCTTTACTTATTGACTGGTTAACATTATCAGCATTTGAGGTAATGTCTGCTAGCGGAGGCCTTTCAGCTATGGTCGGTGCTATTAACCGTTCTGCAGCATGGGATGTACTTTGATGATTTGTGCGAATTAGTCGATCAATACACGGATACGTGTTACGCGTTGTTTGATAATTAGTACGAATTAAACTATCAGTGTTACGCGTTGTTTGATAATTAGTACGAATTAAACGTTCCACTGATGCATAAGTGTAAGAGCGCTCACCATAATTAATTCTTATTTTTTTAGGAAGTTGAGAGGGTGTTGTAGCGTTAGGTCTTTTAGTGTGCTTCACAATCGTAAGCATTTTCGATGGCTTTCAAATGAGAAGTGTTTTCATTGATTTGCTCTATAACAGCCGCTATAGACGTGCTCGCTTGGTTATCCACTTGTGCAATTCTATCAGCTATTACGTTTCCCGTGTTTTTAAGGTGGTTGATTTCAGTAGTCAAATTTTGAATTTGTATTTCCCCGCGTAAGGTTTTTGTTTCTAATTCCCTGTTGTGTATAGAGGCTTTCGTGTATTGAGTTTGCAATTGTAGGACCTCTCGTTGAAGCGCGCGTGTCTGTAGTTGGGCTCGTTGGCCTCTAGCGCGTAGTTTAGCTCTGTGTATAGTAGCGTTTGTACGCTGATTTTGCAACACCAACACTTGTTTAGTAACTTTTACGTGCTCAGTTTGAAGATGGTGAACTTGTCTCTTTAACTGATGTATTTCGTTAAGTATACGGGCCTCTGTGTATTTTACTTGCTGGCTCACAGTTGCTAGACACCTCTCTGTGTGTAGCTCTGCACTAATACAACGTGCCTTGGTTGACTTCAATTCCTCACGTATGTTGGAGAGCTCTGTTTTCACAAAAGTTTTTTCACTAGTGCTGTTTAACAGATGTGTGTTTTCTTGTAGAGTATTCACCTTTGGTGTTAAAGCATTCTTTACAGGCCCTTTTGCTGCATCAGGAGCTGCTGCGTGTCCAGGTTCAAAGTATTCCTCACGGTCCGGGAATGGTGTTCCAGCGTTTAATACATCTTGATCGTTGTTTGGTATACCTTCATCGCGTATAATGGCATCAATGTCGAGTGTCGCTATAAAATCGATTATGTTGAAATCCTGGTTTACTGAGGGCTGATTCTCTGTGTCTTCGTCACCCTCTGATGAGCTAAAATAGTGAGAAGAAAATTATAACCACTATCATTATAAAATTATAATATGTAACTCACCTTTTATCATCATCCCCGTGATTAGTTATTTTGTGTCCGTTGCGACGTGATAGAATTGCTCTAGAAAAAAAAAAAAAATATATACCTCTCATAAAACTTGTTATATAAAGTTAGTATATGTACCGACTTACGGAGCTTTATGTTGATTTAATTTATGCATCAGGGGCATTGACTTGATGTTTAATTTACCTGTGCTGTATAAATGAAATAAAAGTATTAAACATCTGATTAAGACATTAAGGAAAATGAGATCTTACCTTATTTCATCCGTTGGCTGTATACCTCTCGTAACTTTTGCTGTTGGAGTTAAATCTTCATCGGTGTTATAATGTGTCAATAAACGACCCTTTCCTAGAGATAAACTAAATTAAAACATTTAATATGAATACTGAAAAAATGTTATAACTTACCTGTATTAGACATATTGCATAACCTTCTCTTAGACAGTCGCAAAGCGTTTGAACCATTGAAAAACTTGTAACAGACCTCCCACCCATTCTGATTTGTTGCTAGTACGCCCTCCCAACCGCTCATCACTATCAGACACACACACACGTGTCGTTAACAGGGAGGACCTGCAGCTTAATTAGTTTATTGACCTAACTGCTTGTTTTAGAATACACCGTGATCATAAATCACTTTAGACAACTGTGAAACATTATCACACACACACAGAAGCTAACTCATTAAAACTCTTTGAAAAATACCGTGCAGTAACACCTTTCACCACTTGCTCAAGAGCGCCGTCTCTTTTCTGGGGATTTTAGGGTGCAGTACCACCTTTTCACCACTTGCTCAATACTGGTACCTATACTATCTACTGTCTGGGACTCTTACTTAAAATGTATTGGACCTTTAATATCATTGCCCATTAAACATGTGACGATGTGAATACAAACAGGACATGTACGACAGCAGCCACTCTACCGGCACCATCTTGGTCTCATCCAGTTAAATGCAAGTAAGTAATGTTTATTTATATACCACCTTTCACAGACCAGAGTCACAAAGCGGTTTACAATTGTTATTCTTCGGCATTTGTCCTCTCACTCCACACAGAGATGGGAGCGGGGTCGCCAGTACAGGAGGCGCATGCCAGAACTATCGTACATGTTTTTAGTGGTAGGGGAAACCGGAGTACCCGGAGGAAACCTACGCAGACACGGGGAGAACATGCAAACTCCACTCAGAAAGGCACTGGGATTCGAACCCAGGACCTTCTCGCTGAGAGGCAAGTGCGCTATCCACTCAGTCACCGTGCCGCCCGATCTACTTACTTACAGGTGTTCCATGAGGAGTGGGGTCTGGGAGTATGTATGGAGATGTAGAGTTGTGTTTATTTTTATTGATGTTATCTTGTCGTGACTGAGCTGTTATCCGTGTTTTTGTTTTAAGAAAAAAAAATGCAGCTGAAGCGGAGGTTCAGGATGGTAGAATACCTACGTTATCACACCAGGCTTGACCACGCCTTACTCAGCCTGTCTTAATCAACTCCCCGCAGCCGTGTCAATCAAGCCAGCGTTTAAGAGCAAAGCAGAGCACAGCTCACCAAACGGACTTCAAGCTGCAATGGGTTGCTCTTCGTCACTTTGTTTACTCACGCCTCGCACATTGTTCGTCCTGCATGGTCGCGGCTCCTCTTCCACATCACATGTTGGGGGCTGTGCGCCATGGTCGCTGTGTCTCCACCGCGGCTCACCGCGGGTCCTCTCCTGCGGACTCGCTGCCGCTCGTTTCCCCGTGGCCGCTGCTGCTCGCGGCCAGGCGTTACTCCGCGCACCCTGCCGCTTCCATACCGGGAACGGGACTTCTGTCTGCCTGCCGTTGTCTGCCTGCGCTGTCCACCCTTCTCCATGCCTCCACTCACGGTACAGTGTCGGTTTCGTTGTTTTCCGCACTACCATGAACTGTACTGAACTGCGGCGTGTCAGTTATTCCCGCCGAATTGGCTCGCAGGCTGTGTTTTTACCCGATGCATTGCTCCTCAGGCTGTTCATTTTACCATCTGCACTGGCATTTAGACCGTCCGTTTTCACCATGGACCGCACATTTTAATCACTGTGTAGGCCTTCTGGCTGTCCGTTTTACTCATGGGCTGAACATTCTACACACTGCAGTGACCTCCAGGCTGTCCGTTTTACTATGGACTGAACATTCTACACACTGCAGTGACCTCCAGGCTGTCCGTTTTACTATGGACTGAACATTTACCCACTGCATTGACCTTCAGGCTGTCAGTTGTAACCATGGACTATAACATTTGTCGTCTGCATTGGCCTTCGCTCTGTCTAATTGACCGTGGACTGTAAGTTTTGCCCACTGCATTGCTTCCGGGCTGTCCGTGTCTGATGAGCTGCTCTGATTGGTCTGAGCGCGGCCGAGCCCCTCTGTGCTGTTTGTTTGCCCATTGCTTTGGCCTTACGCCACACTTCGACGCCACACTTCGACGCCACACTTCGACGCCACACTTCGACGCCACACTTCGACGCCACCACGCTTCGACGACCCCACGCTTCGACGGCCCCACGCTTCGACGGCCCCACGCTTCGACGGCCCCACGCTTCGACGGCCCCACGCTTTGACGGCCCCACGCTTTGACGGCCCCACGCTTCGACGGCCCCACGCTTCGACGACGCCTTCGCTTCGACGGCCCCACGCTTCGACGACGCCTTCGCTTCGACGGCTCACGCTTCGATGCCACGCTTCGACGGCCCCACGTGGGTGGCCCCACGCTTCGACGACGCCACGTGGGTGGCCCCACGCTTCGACGACGCCACGTGGGTGGCCGCACGCTTCGACGACGCCACGTGGGTGGCCGCACGCTTCGACGACGCCACGTCGGTGGCCGCACGCTTCGATGACGCCACGTCGGTGGCCGCACGCTTCGACGACGCCACGTCGGTGGCCGCACGCTTCGACGACGCCACGTCGGTGGCCGCACGCTTCGACGACGCCACGTCGGTGGCCGCACGCTTCGACGACGCCACGTCGGTGGCCGCACGCTTCGACGACGCCACGTCGGTGGCTGCACGCTTCGACAACGCCACGTCGGTGGCCGCACGCTTCGACGACGCCACGTCGGTGGCCGCACGCTTCGACTCCTCCTCCACGCTTCGACTCCTCCTCCACGCTTCGACTCCTCCTCCACGCTTCGACTACTCCTCCACGCTTCGACTCCTCCTCCACGCTTCGACTCCTCCTCCACGCTTCGACTCCTCCTCCACGCCGCACGCCTCGACGACGCCGGCGCACGCCTCGACGACGCCGCACACCTCGACAACGCCGCACGTCGGCGGCCGCACGCTTCATCGCAGCTCGTTGGCGGCCGCACGCTTCATCGCAGCACGTCGCCGGCCGCACGCTTCACCGCCGTACGTCGGCCGGCGCACGCTTCTACGCCGGTGGCCGCTGTTTGACGCCACGTCGGTGTCCGCCTCCTGCCGCATTCTCGACGCCACGCTTCGACGCATTCGCGTGCTCTCATCCATTCATCGTGGGACCAGTGTCGACAATGGACACGCGTTCCCTATTGGTGGGTGAACAATCCAACGCTTGGAGAGTTCTGCTTCGCAATGACTGGAAGAGCCGGCATCGAAGGATCAGGTCAGTGGTCTGACTGAAGACGTGGTCTGACTGAAGACGTGGTCTGACACTGCCCGTTGGTCCTTTTCACTCGAGTGATAGTGGTTCGAGGTTTCTCTTTTCAGCTTCGCAGGAATGTGATGCCGCAACGCCGCACCAAAGCTCTGCTACGACGCCGCGACGGTGGCCTGCTGCAACGCTGGCCTGCTAAGACTGCATGAGTACTGTTCGGCGTGGCCTTCAAACCTGGCCGACTATCTTCCCCAGGCCGCACTCATTGGCTTTTGGTGTGCAGCACTGCCCGCCACGGTTGCGTGCACTCTGAGTGGCTGTAGGCGGTGCTCCTTCTCATGTTCCCCAGGCATATTCTCTCCTGGTCTCCTGGTGCGGCTCCTGCCGCCGGGCCTGTCTCACGCTTCGCCTTACCTGACGCACCCTGGCCCTCATTCTGACCGGCCCTTGTGCGTTGGTTTTTGGGGGTCCAGAGATCTCCTATCGAACATCAATCTTCCTGGGTAAGTGTACTTCATGAATCTCTAGCCTGTTTGTCCGTGGCCTGTTTGTCCGTGGAGTGGATCCCTCTCTCATGTAGGGTCTTCCGAAGGTTTCTCACTTTTTTCCCCACGGGGTTTTGTGAGTTTTCCTTGCCATGCAGGAGGGTCTGGACAGTTAGTGTCCAACTAGAAGGCCGTGGTGATGATCCAGGATACTTTACATTCTACAACATGTATGGACATTTTATCAACATTCATAGACTATAATCACTCTTTAAACAATCCCTCGACGACCCCCTGGTCTGAACAAGTTCAAAACCTCTGCTCCCTGCATGTAACCTCTCTTCCTTTCTCTACACCCGCCACTCCTTCCGGATAGGAGCAGCCACTTGGGCTGCTGCCCTGGGACTCCCTCAATCATCTCTCCAGGAGCTCGGTCCCCGGTTCTCTACCACATTCTTCCGTTCTGGCAGCCCAGCGCCTCCTCTCATATAAGTACGTATGCATCTCCTGGTGGTGGCAACTCCTCATTCCAGCATGGCGCGCACTCGAGCCGAGCGCGTGCCAACGCCTAGCGCTAGAGCCGAGCTCGCGCACGGACATTACGCCGCGCACTCGAGCCGAGCTCGTGCGCGTGCCAACGCCTAGCGCTAGAGCCGAGCTCGCGCACGGACATTACGCCGCGCACTCGAGCCGAGCTCGTGCGCGTGCCAACGCCTAGCGCTAGAGCCGAGCTCGCGCACGGAAACAGTCACTCACACCATGCGCCTTCCATAAACGCAGCAACCAAGTCGTGGCATACGCATCGCTAGCCAAGCTCTCTTTTTGGGGATCATGATCTGCACCCAGGCGCAGATCTCTTCAGAGCACGGCCACAGCCGGGGCCTAAGCTCCAAACCAATAAACAAACTCAATCCATAAAATAAACAACTCTTAAACGCATCTCGTCTCTTGTAGTCTCTCCAGGTTGAAATGCAGCTGAAGCGGAGGTTCAGTATGGTAGACTACCTACGTTATCACACCAGGCTCGACCACGCCTTACTCAGCCTGTCTTAATCAACTCCCCGCAGCCGTGTCAATCAAGCCAGCGTTTAAGAGCAAAGCAGAGCACAGCTCACCAAACGGACTTCAAGCTGCAACCACCTCCTCCCCACCTCCGCCTCAGGATTTCTTCACTCTCACATTCACCTTGCCTTGTTGCCACCACCAGTGTCTAGGCCCCGGGGGATCATGATCTGCACCCAGGCGCAGATCTCTTCAGAGCACGGCCACAGCCGGGGCCTAAGCTCCAAACCAATAAACAAACTCAATCCATAAAATAAACAACTCTTAAACGCATCTCGTCTCTTGTAGTCTCTCCAGGTTGAATCAAATAAATACATTAAATATAAAACAGCTTGAAGAAGGAGTGCCGCAGTCCAACTTTGATATTTATTGTTGTACGTGTTGAAGAAAGGGGCAACATTAAACTTTCTTTTCTCTGCTCCTTTTCATTTGTGCGACAAGACTACAACTGTTTGAAATATAATTGCAATATGTGATGTATTGTCATGCTCACGATTGAATACCAATGAAAATGAAATAATAGATGAACAGAGTGAAGTACCCCAGCTTTAATAAGGAGTGTATAAAAGTTCCCGTCTCTTCTCTCGTGTTTGATTTGCCTGTAGCCGTTGACTCAGCGATTAGCATAGCCTCTTCATTATAGCGCTGTACAGTGATGAGCGGGCCACCTGAGCGCTCGGGTGCCCTGGCATTATTAAAACTCTCTCTCGGGACGTCTCCGCTGCTCCCCCCTCCGGACATTTGCATATGCCATTTCTCATTGTGCCCCGGTGTCATTCAAGGAGCACCGAGAGCAGCGGCTTCTCCTCCGGTTTCTGCCTCCATCCTTCCTCCGTCCTTCCTCCATCCGTAATCTCAGTTTAGACAGAAGTGCAATTCCAGACCGCAGGAAGCAGGATTCTGACCGTTTCAGAAGAACATTTTAATGATATATACAAGATAAGAAAAGAAAAGCCTTTATTTGTCCCACAGTGGAGAGATTTCAATGTAAACATACAAGTAGGAAATAAGAGCACTCATGTTGCACACGTCAAACAGGCCATATGAAAAATACTACAGAAAGTTGTGCCTGCAACAGGGACGTCTGGGAAGTCCTCAAGGAGAAGCTTCAGCAGCTCCACTGAGAACAGCTGTGTTCAGAGAAACAAAGGCTGTCTGATCCTGGAGCAGCAGGTCCAGAAGCTGCCTGAGGACCTGACCTCCTCTCCGGACTACAACACTGCTGTGGAGCCCCAGGTTCATGAGCTCCAGAACGAGGTCAACAGGCTGCACAAGAAGAAGAGAGTGGTGTTTCTATAACAAACACTGACATTAGTGTTTGACACGGTGTTCAGGACAAAGCTAGAATCACGCTAACACAAAACTAAACTCCAGCTTTATCTTGTGACTTGAGGAGGTAGGATCTCAGTTGGTGAACATAGTTAGTATCCAGAGGATCTAGCATGACTTCAGAGGTTTCACTTGCTCCTGCACCTATTGGAAAAGAAATTGTCTACAGTTAAAGTTGTGTGTAACTGGTCAGGAATATCTAACAAGTCAAGCTTCAGAGATTTATTGTTTCAGTGGAGAAACCAAAGTGAATGTACTCCTTACCCTTCGTCTTGTCGAGCGATGAGCAGCTTGATGAGGTACAGCTTTTCCCTTCCCTCAAAAAATAAACAAATGCATTTTTATAAACTGTGTCAAGACTTAACTTTGTGATTCTGTTGAGAAACCAAAAACCGATAACGTCGGGTTCAAATGAATGAGAAATGTGTTGGGCTTTTCCTACAAATGGTCTGGATTTGCTCAATTGAGCTCTGTCAACAGGTGGGGAGGGTTTACTCCTTTTGCAGATTGAAACGATTGGATCTGAGTTTATCATGACTTATGTAATGCGCCCGAGTGAGGGAGGCATTTAGTATTTAGCCTAGCTTTAGCATTTAGCCTAGCTTTAGCAATCTCCTTTGCCACTAACGGAGTCCGTGGGGAGTAGAAGCACAACATCTTTGCCAGCAGTGACATTTCTTAAACATTCCTCTTGCTCCGGCTTCAATTTCTTGATATGGAGCAGAACCAGAAGGGATCACCTCACTATCGCATTCACCACCAATGCCAAACTACAACCAGCAAATTCGTTGCAAACTCTTGACATCACCGACACCTCCCTGCAACCCCCGCCTACCCCGCTCACTGAATGGTCGGAGTGGATTAACCGAGGTAACCGCAGCCACTAAGATAAGACCGAGACGCACATGTAGGAAACGATAATCGACCGGAGTCCAGGCTATAGCGGAGGCCTTTGAGTGATTTTTTGACGAGACAACGCTGTCCACTCCTGACCTATAGTTCATGTCAGCGGACTGTTCTGGCAGAGAGAATATTATAAACATTCTATAAACAGGACACAAACACTAAGATTAAAAGAGAAGATTTCATTTGTCGATATCGTAACCCGAAACATGCGGTGACCATGAAGACACATCACAAACAGGCTCAGGTTTGACATCGACTGCTTTTCCAAAAAATCAATTTCAGCTGTCATTCACACATTTAAAGTTTTAATCTTTCAGGGCTGTTCTGACACAGAATAATCAAAGCAACAATATAAAACAGATTTGTGTGTGCACATCAATATAACCACTACTTTTTACAAGAAGTAAAAAACAATAGTCTGGTGGCACAAATGTCCATGGTTCATATTTAACCCTCAAAATGTGTACGAATACCTGTTTAAACTCTCAGTCTGGGGAAGAGGATAAAGAGAAGGAGAAGGGGTTCCACCGATTGGTCAAGTGTCCAAATCGTACCATCAAAACAAAGCTGGGATTTTGTTTTGGAATCTTTAGCAAAAGTATTTGTTAAAAGCTGCTTTTATCACCGAGATCAGCTCAACAAAACATTCCAAAAAAGTCCTTTGAATAAGAAGTAATTACATATCTGCACTGGCTTAAACCCAGTCTCTAGAATTGTCCCGAATCACTGTGGTTCAAAAAGGTCCTGGTCTCAGTCCTCGGTCTCTAGTCACAGATGTGGTCCTTCTTAGACGTAAGCTCCCAGTGCTGCATGAAACTCGGTCAGTTTCATGCAGCGGCCTGAAACCGAGGGGTTGTAATAATAGAATAAGAGATTCTTTATCCGTCGCACAGTGGGGAAAGCTCACATACAGGACAGTAGAAAGAGCACACAAAAATATACTGTATAGAGTAGCTGCTATGTTAGCTAGCTGTAAATGAATGAATGAAATATCTAAAAAACCTGCACACATAATTTTCACAGGAAACAAGAACACAAAAGCTCATACAGGGATTGAAAAGTGGTTGGAGAAAGAAAAACGCTATTAATCCAAATCCCCCTCACCCAGACAGCACAAGACAAACAATAAGGGTAAATGCACAAATCACATTATACAAAAGTTTACTGTACACTACGTACAGTAACTACCACCGATGGTATAAGACAAGACGACGCACTCACACGCACAGGCCCAAACACTCCCTGACCATACACCTCTCTCCTTCAACTGCCCTAGATAACTACTGTTGTGAGTTGAGGTGAGTGAGCTGTACAAAAATAAACAATAAACCTGCAGGAGGATCAATGAGGGGCTGGTCCGCTCTGATTGCGCCCCCCCCCCCCCCCCCCCCCCGACACAGAAATGGATTCATAAAAGGTGATAAAAGTGAATCAATCTATGAATCATTTATGGGATCATTACCACTAAGCCCTGAAACCCCAGGCCTCCTCTCCCCAACACACCTTTTAACCCTCCTCACCAGCTAACATCTTCGCTGCAGTGTGAAGATCAATGTGAAGATCAAACCAATAAACTGAAGTGTGTAACTCATTGCTCACTTGGGGTTGAGGTGAAGAAGTTAGACAGAAGACGTTATCGATGATGAAGCAACAAGACCTAAGAAGAACAACAAGGCCAGTGATTTTAAAGCATGGATGAATCGTAGACGCTCCGATCAGCAGCTGCCCCGGTGTCAGTAGCTTCGGCCTTCAGAAAAAACCAAAACATTGGAAGTGGAAAATCTGCTCCTGCAAGTGGTATTAGACTAGCTTAGTTTTAACCAAAATTTGTAAAAAGTGTAAAAATATCTATAGAAGGTTCAGTCACATTTTAGTTCACCCCTTACTAATAAACGTTAATAAGTGCATAGTTTATGGTTAATTAGCTATTAAATAGCACTTATTAGTCCTTATGCTGCAATACCCTATTCAACATCTAATTAACTACAACCTGATACTTTCCCATGAGGGTTAGGGTTAGGGTACAATAATTATCACTTAATTAGCTGTTATTTACTGAGGGCTAATCTAAAATGTTACCAAAGAATGGATAACTATGACAACAAAACGAGCCATGGAGCCGTGTTTAGGTGAGTGAAGCTCCTAGCGTCAGAGTTTGTGCAGTTGCATGTGTATGGAGCTATTATTGTTTCAATAATATTTGTGTGCGCGTAAACAGATTTGTGTGCGCGTAAACAGATTTGTGTGCGCATAAACAGATTTCTGTGTGCGTAAACAGATTTGTGTGTGCGTAACCAGATTTGTGTGTGCGTAACCAGATTTGTGTGTGCGTAACCAGATTTGTGTGTGCGTAACCAGATTTGTGTGTGCGTAACCAGATGTGTGTGTGCGTAACCAGATGTGTGTGTGCGTAACCAGATTTGTACGCGTGTAAAAGAAATATTTGTGCATCTGTAAATAGATTTGTATGTACGTATCAAGATTTGTGTGTGTGTAAAAAGATTTGTGTGTGCGTGGAAAGATTTGTATGTACGTATCAAGATTTGTGTGTGCGTAAAAATATTTGTGTGTGCGTAGAAAGATTTGTGTGTCTGTAAAAAAAAAGTAAGTTTTACACAAGTTGTTTTTTTCACACGAATCTTTTGACGCAGTCCTGCCTTCGCAGATTTGCAAGTGTAACTTGGACTGTGTGCGTGCGTAAACAGATTTGTGTGTGTGTAATTTGACATTTGTATCTGTAGCAGAACAATCCGTGTGTAAATGACCACGTTGTACGAAGAGAAGAACGGAAAATAGCTACGCACAGGCTCTGTTTTACACACGAATCTCTTTTTGACACACCTCTGCCGCCAAGCGTGTGTCAAAAAGATTCGTAAGTGTAATGTGGTTGTTCTAGCAGTACACCAGCAGATGGTGCTGTTGTAGCTGGTTATTACCTACAGGCAAGCAAACCAAAACCTACTGCCTTGACAAGACACACTACCTCAGCTGTTTATGATATTTTTTTCCTATATTTAAAATCCTGTCATTCACACCACTGTATTATACATGGATCTATTTTAATAACTGGATAGGGTGTTACTAGCTTGGAGCTGAGGGATTCCCGCGTACTGCAGACTAAATTCACGTGGGCTACACAGAAATTTTCCCCATAGAACTCAGAGTAAACTAAAACAGCTGACAGAGAACCTACAGCTTTCATAAAGGTCGGATTTTGTGGGAATTTTAGTGTCCCTTGTCATCCTGAATCGTCTTCTTAAATCCTTCGGTTTTCTTTAAATCTACAGTTTAGTGCCACAAACTCAGCTGGTTTGCTTGCCTGTAGGTAATAACCAGCTACAACAGCACCATCTGCTGGTGTACTGCTAGAACAACCACATTACACTTACGAATCTTTTTGACACACGCTTGTGTCAAAAAGAGATTTGTGTGTAAAACAGAGCCTGTGCTTCGCATATACACACACAAAAAACTGTTTACGCACGCACACAGTCCAAGTTACACTTGCGAATCTGCGAAGGCAGGACTGCGTCAAAAGATCCGTGTGTAAAAAAAAAACTTGTGTGTAAAACTCCCTATTTTTTTTTTACACACACACAAATCTTTCTACGGACACACAAATCTTTTTACACACACACAAATCTTTATACGCACACACAAATCTTTTTACACACACACAAATATTTTTACACACACACAAATCTTTTTACGCACACACAAATCTTGATACGTACATACAAATCTATTTACACACGCACAAATGTTTCTTTTACACACACACAAATCTTTTTACGTATACACAAATCTGGTTACGCACGCACAAATCTGTTAACGCACACACAAATATTATTGAAACAATTATAGCTCCATACATGTGCTGCTCTTTCCTTTATGAAGTGGTCCTTGTGAAAAATATGTTTGAAACTATTTAGAATCCTTCACGTGGATGGTCATCTTGCTGTCTCTGATCTCGGTGTTTATATTGTAATTCTGTTTTTGTAAATCAAGCAAACAAGGGCACTATGATTAATACATAAAGTGGGTAACTGTGACTAACACTACTT